ATCTGTTCTCTGTGTACTCTACGTATATATATCTGATATTCGGGATAAATATTCAACTAGTCATAAACTAAAACAAATCCACTTTTTAAATTATTTTTTAGAACTGCACCCACGTGACTGCAGTGATCTTCTTATAGGAAGTGACTCCGGGGTATATACAATATATCCAACAAATGCGATATTTGATGTTTACTGTGATATGGATACAGCAGGATTTGGATGGACAGTATGTGTAGTAAAGATGTAGATTTTTGCTTAGATATAGTTATTTCGTAAAACGTAGATTTTACTTTCGCAAATTAACTTTATCTAGCGACAAGTAGCGGAGCTAGGTAACGGATATTTCCGACAGTAAATCAAGTTTTACGAAGGCCAAGCTTTAAATACAATACAGTTATCTCCATTCTAATGCAGCATATTGAAATAAGTTCCATTTGATTAACATTTTGGCTTAAAATGACATTAATGAAAAAGTCCGCGAAACTGTTGCATCGTCTTTAGCATATAAACAGTATGACGTCTTATGTATACTCACGATGTCAAACATAATCACTAGACGTAATTATACCTTTCGTACGCTTCAGAATAATTTCAATGTTGACAAAAAGAAGATTTTGAGGCTCAAAATGTGACTTTCTTTTTTATGTTTTCTGTTTATTTTGTGAGAAGATTACATACCAAAAAAAAAAAAAAAAAAAAACAGAATTCAAGATGGTGGCTTTCCTAGTTACGGACTGGTAGATCGTGGAATCTAACCCTTTAAAATATTTGTCGACGTCCAATGAAAATTATAGTTACAAACAATTTTCATTAGGATACATAATTTTATCTATTTTTTACATAGTATTGTATTTATACAATACAGATATTAATATGTACTTTTGTTCATGTTTGTAAAACTGATGTTTATTCAGCCAAACAAGTTAAATGAATATCAGTTTATCTCAGATAAAAATAAACGACACATTCCTCAAATCAAAAGCTTGAAAGTTTTACTAAATGAAAAGCAAAAATTAAGTTTCCTTTTTTTATTTTGTTATTTTGTTATTTTGTTAGTCTTTTTTTATTCTACTTTATTCTTTTTAGGGTGGGTGACATTGTTTTGGGGAAGATATTATTTATTGTCTATGTTATTAATTTGTTTTTATTTCTGGTCTATCCCCGGAATCTTAAAATTCGTAAGACAACCAGCGAAATTCTATTTAGTCTATTAGGTATTGTTTGATTTTTATTTGGATATTTTGCACCATTTGTTTAATTATCTATATATGCAAACATCGTTTCTTCACTGGCAAATGCAGTCTTATTTGTTGCTCGAAATTCGGTCTAGAGAGTGAATGAAATGTGCACATTTCGAGAGTAGTATGAAATTCATGTGTAAGACTTTTAATATTTACATAGAAAAATATGTGATTTACCATACTTTACGGCTGTATTTTACAAAAAAAAAACAGACATATTTTATTGATTCCTTCTTTTTTAATATCTTTGCAACATTAGGGGAGATAACTTTTATAATAAAATGTGTTGTAAATTTACCTATTTTATTATTTAGTCCAGTGACACTTTTTTCATTTTTTTTTTCTTATCTGAAGGCATATCATTAGAGCTATATCTTCTCATATTTTATCTTAAAATTATATGTGTAATTTTCTTATTATCACACAAAATTGTGTTTTTACATATTAAATAATCTATACAAATTCCGACAATTTTGCACAACCGGTAGCGTGAAAGAAAGCCCGGAGACCCATACTTTTCATTATATTTTTGAAAAAAAGCAGGATATTTATAAACTACATTTTGACGAATTATCTAAAAAAAGGTCTACTGATTTCAATTTAGACCCTGTATCTACCTTAAAGGTTAAAATAATGAAAAATGTTATTCAGAATATAAACAGATAACATAACAGCTGATCGAGACGCAATATGAATTTACGAGAACGTTATACAGGATTAATATGAAGACATCCATTTCATGACAACTTTATCAACCTATAATTATTTAGTATTCTAATATGACGTGCTTCTTTCGCTTTGTAAACAACACCGTAATAAAATTCTCGATATATCTATACTTGGCGCAGACTCAGAGATATACATAATAATGGCTTTTATAATATACCTCCCAAGTAAATCCACAAGTATCGTAACATATTTGCAAACGCTTTACCGATTTTGTTGTGTTAAAAATTGTAATTGAAAAAGACTAGAACTTTTATTGTTATTACGATGCATTACAAAAAGAGTTAATGCATAAGAGCTCGGATAAATGTACGAAATCAAAATCAAATAAAATTTTGCGAAAGTTCATTAATGCTTTTTGCGCATTAAGTCATTTCAAAACACGACGTCATACTAATGAAAACGCTAAAGCTGAAAATTTTCAGTTACGTGAACCATCCAAATGCAGATAATATTATACTAAAATGGAGTTTTGAGGTAGGTGTCGTTTTATTTTCTATTCTTTTGCATTTTTCGCACATTTACTGATTTCAGCAAGTCAACATGGCTGCGCCTTAGTTACGAAATATCAACTGTAGATTTGACGGTAGCTTACGAGAAAAGAAATGTATATTAAAAATAGAAAACGTTGGGGTTTAGAATTAAAAGAATAAAACACATTTTTATCGGTTATTTTAAAAATGATTCATGCAAGCAGTAGATTTATTGGAGATTTGTTTAGCTTTTTATAACGGGGGGTGGGGATGGGGGGGGGGGGGGGGTCGGGGATTAAAAGAACTGCCACAAACACAGCATACCCACCCTCGCTTCAGTTTATAAATTACTCTATTTGTCCTATTAGAATCGAAATAATTCATGGAAGCCCAGGCCATTTGTAAATTTCCAACAAATATATGGCTTCCATGAATTATTTCTTAAACAACAAAAAGATGACTAATAATAAAAAAGGCTATAGGAAAACTAACACAAGACCAATAGTAACTATTAGGTTATTGTTTCTGTATTAGAAATATATATTAATTAGCAGTACTAGGGCACATGGAATTGTGATAATCTTAAACTTGTGTTAAGTCCATGGTTAATTCATTTTTAGTTTAAATATATGCATTCATTGGCTTTCAATTAGGGTTCGTAATTAAATTAATAAAATATAAACATGTTTAACATGTACGATACCGATTGTAATGCGCAAGACACTTTTTGACTCTCATCTGATATACGCCCCCAAGGGTGACTGGGGAATAGAAGTATGGTCACCATTGGCCTTCATCCGACCGGCAGTAAAACCCTTGCTAAAGTGGGGCGTCCGTTTGGCTGTGCGGGATGTACAAATTTGCAGCCACGTCCGGTCAGAATGGGGACGTTAACTCCGATGCCTCGTGTAAAGAGAGAGCCACGCTCTTTGCACGTTAAGAACCCTTGCAACAACTCTTTGAGGGTCCGTAGGTGACCTGTTGCAATGCTAAATTTCTGTCCCTATCCAATATACCCTCATTTCCCGTGGCAGTCTAAATTTCTCCGACCTTAATTCCGGACGCCCCTTTTACAGAACCTACCTATATTATTATTGTTAATTTATTCTCGTCCTGAATATGCATGAAATATTTGCCACTGGACGTTAAGCAACCAACAATCAATCAATCAATCATCTGATATACTTGTTTGGTTATGGTTGGCTAGTTGGTGATAATTCTATCAGAATATATGTATATTGATTTGATTTTGATTTTTGGTGTTTTAACGCCACTTTTAAGCACCGCTTTTTGGCTATTTCATGGCGGCCAGTTTTTATTGGTGGAGGAAGCCGGAGTGCCCGGAGAAAACCACCGACCTTCGATAGGAAAACTGACAATCCTAGTCAATTAAGATTGGAGTCGAGTGCACCCGCACGAGCGGGGTTCGAACTCACAACCTCAGTGTTGACTGGCTAGTGATTACAGTAGTAACTACTTAGACCACTCGGCCACCGAGGCCCCCAAAGTGGATTGTATATTGTGTTGATATATAACTTTGTATAGAAACTTAGTGACAACTGAAAACTATGATTTTAAGTCAAACTCAAAATTTCATTCATATTATTGCCAGCATATAGCGTTTTTTTCCTAACACGTCATCCCCCAAACAGACGATTTTATGAATACTATATGTTAGGACATGATAACAACATTTCTTGCACAACAAAATGTATATAAAAGATAGACTACATACAAAAGAATATGTGGTATGACTCCAAATGTGACAACTCTTCACAAGATACCAAATGACACAGAAATTAACAACTATAGGTCACCGTACGGCCTTCAACAATGAGCAAAACCCATACCGCATAGTCAGCTATTAAAGGCCCCGAAATTACAAATATAAAATAATTCAAACGAGAAAACTAACGGTCTAATTAATGTATTAAAAAATGAACGAAAAAACAAATATGTACATGTAACACAGCAAAAACGACAACCACTGAATTACGGGCTCCTGACTTTGGACAGACACATACATACATAATGTGGCGGTTTAAACATGTTAGCGGGCTCCCAACCCTCCTCTAACCTGGCAAAGTGGTGTAACAGTACACATTATGAACGAACTATAAAAATCAGTTGAAAAAGGCTTACTCATCAGATGAATACAAATAGAAATACATCTAACAAAAACACAGAGTGAAGTGGCCGGGTACTTGTACATCCAAATATCAAAAGGACAATAAGTACAGATCTGACAGTACTCGCAGTTACTAACAGCTAGTTCAAAGCCAATAACAACTAATAAAGAAATCATGCATCTAAGACTAAATTATCAATCAGTATACAAACATATTTCAGAAGATTGCAATCTTGAATATTATATAACATCAATAATAATATGCATTAAATATCAAAAGTAAGTTCACTTCTTTTGTCGTGTCCTGTTTTGTGTGTTTTAGACAGACGGATCGTATGCAGGAAGAATAATTTACCTTGAATTGAATTAATGCTACATTTGATTTACCCAATATTTCATTGCTCTAGGATTCTGATATCTTTAAAGGTTTTTCAGAGCAGAATGAATGGAGCTACGGATTTTTACCGAGGATGGATTGATTATAAAAATGGATTTGGAAGTTTGACATCTGAGTTATGGTTGGGTAATTTCTTTACAATTCATTTAATACATTTTGTTTTCAATTTTGCAGAGATTGTATAACCTATTTACTATACATATTTTTCCTCAGTTCATATACGAGTTTTGGACAATCTCGGTCTATTCCTAAAAAATATTTACAGTCTAAAATACCTTATTTTAAGTATATACTTTTTTAACACAAGAAAACTGTCATGATATCCACATTGACGCTGTAACGTAGACTCTAATATTCTATGTTTGATCTCTCTTAAACAAAGACAACTCAAGTCGTTTTCATGGATACGAATTTGGATATATTACCTGTTTAGGACAAAATATGTTTATTGACTTTAAGTGTTAATTAAACTAACTACTAAACTTTTTTTACTTATGTAATTGATTATATCGGAATAACAATAAACAACAAACAAAAAGCATATATAACTTTGATTCTTCAATGCCAACACTATTTTCACAATACATGGGATTTAAATAAGTGTATTTCATTTTCGCTGCAGTGTTTGTTATTTTTGTGTTGTTTTTTTGTTCTTTAAAATTTCAATAAATGATACAAATACAGGCAACAGTAGTATACTGCTGTTCAAAAGTCATAAATCGATTGAGAGAAAACAAATCCGGGTAACAAATCAAAACCGAGGGAAACACATCAACTATAACATGTATAAGAGGAAAATAACGGATCAACAGAATTACTGAAGTGCAACAAAAACAAACGCGAACATACATAGAAACGAACTATTTGCCATATTCCTGACTTGGTACAGGACATTTCAAGAAAAAAATAGTGGGTTGAACCTGGTGTTATGGCTAGCCAAACCTCCTGCTGATATGGCAATGTTACAAAATATCGCTAAAATGACAACACTTCGTGATAGAAATATAGCACAAACAAACGCAAGAACACTCGCACAGAGAAACGCACAAATAAATAAAATGATAGTCGTTACAACATGTTAACATACAAACATTATCACTGTTATGTAGACTTTTATCTTCACGTCAGTTTTTGTTCTCGACCTAGCTATTGTCGTCTCTCCTCGACTTTTGAGTTTTAGGTCAATCCGTGTTATCATTCAAATCTTTTCACAGTACTAAATTGAGTACATTTATCAATTATAACAATATGTATCCATGTTTTACGACATTTGTTAGAATAGGTTAAGCACACGTGAGACAGGATCTGCTCACCCTTCCGGAGCACTTAAGATCAACCCCGATTTTTGATGGGGGTCGTGATGCGTAGTCTTTAGTTTGATTTTTTCTGCTTTGTGCACTATTGATTGTCTTTTGGTCTTTTCCATTTTGCCATGGAGTTGTCAATTAGGCTCCCTTCCAATTGACAACATCAGTTTTAGCATTAAGTAAGACACCGGGCGATTAACTTCCTTTTGATTATTATAATGTCATTTTACTTTTAAACAGGAAATAACTTCATTCATCTTCTTACTTCGACTGGAAATTACAAGCTTTATATCCACCTTGAAGATTTTGAAGGAAATTTAGCATATGCAGAATATTTCGACTTTAGTCTAGGAGATTCTGCATCAAATTTTAGGTTGAATGTCAAAGGATATTGTGGGACTGCAGGTAAAACACTTTATCATATGTAAATGAAGATACAGGATGAACGTCAATGAGACAGCAAAGTAGGATTATGCAACATATACTTAAGATCTGATCTTATTAGTATCTTGATATTCATTTAAAAAACGGCAAGAATGTAAATTTGAATTAAAATAGCACTTTATCTCCTAGTTCGTTTCGTTGTTATTGTTTTTTTTTTCTATGACATATTATATAAAAATTATATGGCGACTTCTAGATTTCTAATCATACATTCTCTCTTACACACATCAGAAGAGAACATCATTGCGTTTTTCCTGATTTGTAGGAACAAATATCTCTCGGAATATGTAAGGAAACAATATACCTTCATAACTTATTTTGGGGATCCATCTACATGATCTATTTCCCTTTCATTTTTGGTTCAGGTTAAAAAAAAAGAACATGAATTTAATTTTGCAAAACAAATGAAATAACTTTCAAACGAAATTAGCTATTATTATCCAGTTTTTATAAAGTGTTTTTTACATAAATTTATATGGAAGTCAACTATATACAATCTTTATTTAATTGCCAAGGAGATAGCCTTGCATACCACAACGGCATGATGTTTTCTACTAAAGACAAGGATAACGACAAACTTCCATTCAGCTGTGCAAAAACCTGTAAAGGAGCATGGTGGTCCAAGGCATGTAATCAAGCTGATTTGAATGGGGAATATTTAGGAAGACAGCACACGTATGATCTCCGAGGAATCAAATGGAGAGCATGGAAAGGCGATTACTACTCACTAAAATCTACTAAAATGATGATCAAGCGAAACTAAGAACCATTTTCTGAAAGACTCATAATTTCAAATGTACGCACACATTCAATTGAATTTAATCAAAGTGGTAAAATTAAGTAACCTATAAACAATTGGAAGATAATCACAGAGAATAACATATATGCTTGATATAGGAAAATAAACATTCGTATTGTGTTTATTTTATTTTTTCTTATTAACTACCTATTTACTTTCTGTTTGATGGAAGGTCAATTTTTAAAAACTATGAAACATCCTAATTAATAAAGTATAATATAATGCTGTCGTGTCCGTGCTTCTCCTTTAAATCTATGACACAGATATCGGAACAGAGTAGTTAACAAATTATAAGATAATGCTGTCGTATTCGTGCTTCTCTTTTGAATCTACAATCAGAAAAGAAACTGATGAAAATGACACAATATTTCTGGTACTCGAAAAAATACAAGAAACAAAACATTCACAATTCATTGCCTTAGATTTCTCTCGAAAATTGACTTTAAACAGAAATTTTGCTTTTAACATTAACTGAACATTCTGAACCTAAAGAATTAGGTCTACTCTAGAGATTGAAGTTATTATTCAGATATTTTGCCTGTACTCAATCAAGTTTGTTGAGCAACTTTTCTGACAATTAAATATGTTGTTGTTTTGTAAATAGCTACCACTGAACAGTCTGAACACTGGCTAAACATATATTTATTGACTATTATTGATTGGTGATTGTATAGTGTATTCAGGATATGCAGAGTATAACGCGTTTTGTCCTGCTACAACAAACAATGCTTTGAAAACAAACGGATATACTGGGACTGCATTAACATTGAACTTTTGGCTGTTTGTTAAATATAAATGGAGATATGGGATAAACGTCAACGAGATAGCAACCCATTTGACATCATTAAAGCTATGTTCAAGTTATTATCGTTCTAATACCCTTTCTTCTTTGATAACCATTAGAACAAACTACAAGAATGTAAAACATTTTGTTTCAACAAAATGTAATCGGTAATGTATAACTCACGAGTGTCATTCACAGTTTTATCGGTAGTGTATAACTGACGAGTGTCATTGAGAGTTTTATCGGTAATGTATAACTCACGAGTGTCATTCAGAGTTTAATCGGTAATGTATAACTCACGAGTGTCATTCACAGTTTTATCGGTAATGTATAACTCACGAGTGTCATTCAGAGTTTTATCGGTAATGTATAACTCACGAGTGTCATTCAGAGTTTTATCGGTAATGTATAACTCACGAGTGTCATTCAGAGTTTTATCGGTAATGTATAACTCACGAATGTCATTCACGGTTTTATCGGTAATGTATAACTCACGAGTGTCATTCACAGTTTTATCGGTAATGTATAACTCATGAGTGTCATTCACAGTTTTATCGGTAATGTATAACTCACGAGTGTCATTCACAGTTTTATCGGTAATGTATAACTCACGAGTGTCATTCACAGTTTTGTAGTAATCTGCAATTTGGTTATTAATTTGATAGAAAAGGAATATAAACTTTTTGATTTCAAAAGTGCACACATTTCTATTATACAATACAGGTTTTTGGAGACAAGAAGAACTTATATAAATCCGTCTCACTAAACAAAATGACAACATTGGGAGCATAGTGTATGGAAATCCGCTATAATATAATTTTCAATTTACATTACATGTTTATTCTGTGGTTTGTCCGTTACTCAGAAGTCAGTTTGATCGAAAGATGTGATCAACTCCTTTCCTATTGTGGTCTTACATGTAGCTGTGAATATATGTAAATGATTCACAAAATAAAGTTAAATTACAAAGTTTCAAAATCTAAATCGACATAAAAATCAAAATATTTATAAACCATAATATCCTTGTTTCCAAAATAAACCTTTGTACAATTATAAAATTTTAAATATTTTCGTTTACTCATCACTGATGAAAACACTTAATAATGTTTGTATCTGAAATTTGTCCTGGTAATGTGGAAATGGTTTACGTCTCAATGTGTCTATAACTATGACATTCTACCAGACATTGTTTGCTGCTCTCAACTTGTCACATATACAGAGGCTGGAATGAACATAATGTTTTTCTTGAAAAGATTTTCATCTAAGCCATTGCAGTTCAACCGGAGTCCTGCATGATGTATTTGGTCTTTTCTATGACCAGGTTTAAAATATGAAGGTACTTTCTTAATAATATGATTAAAATATCTTTTCAGTGGGTTTTTTTATTGATTACATCTTACGTCTTGTGGAAGGCTCTTCCATTCACGAATAACATATTCTAGGATTTAAATTTCATAAAACAATGTTAAAAAAAAAATACAAAAAAGAAACAAAAAACAATGTTCTACAGTTCATGTTTTAAACATTAGTTATAAATTTGGCAAAGTTGTTGAGGTATGAGACTACAAAGAAAATCAGGAACTTGATCATGACACATTTCTGAAATCGGACTCAGACTTCTTTTAAACTGTGTTTTACTGTGCGTAGTGCCATGTGTTTTTTTATTCTACATTGGCTAGAGGTATAGGAGGAGGGTTGAGATTACACAAACCGATCAAAGAGTAAAAAACAGCCCAAAGTCTAATGGTTATCAAAGAAGAAAGGGTATATACGAGTCGCTTCTATTAAGATGCTTTTTAGTTTGTCTTTAAAAAAAGTTGGTATGTTATCCAACACAATATCCGCATATTCGAGAATAGGCCTTATGAAATAAATACAAATAACTTGCATCGACCCATTGAAACAACATCTGATACAAAAATTAAATAACACTTAATATATCGTCATGATATTTTGGCTCTCAATAATGACGACTTCAGTATGTACACTAAAGAGATTTATCCTGCTGAACTGACTTTATATACAACTAGTACTTCCAATGAACACTACCAATTCCTGGATCTTGATATCTATATCTTAAACAGGAAGCTTATACAAAAATTTATGATAAAAGAGACGATTTTTCATTTCCGATTGTTAATTATCCATTTTTAGAGGGTGACGTTGTCGCCTTCATATGGTGTTTATATATCTCAACTTGATCGATTTGCTCGTGTAAGTAACAACGTATTTGATTTTAACGAATGCAATTTTTATATTACTGAAAAATTATTATACCAGGGTTTTCGATATCACAAACTAGTCAAAACATTGTGCTTGATTTTCATATGATAAAAAATCTATCAATCAGTTTAACTGAGGTTTGGAGCTGGCATGTCAGTAATTGATAGTAGTCCTTTGTTGATTTATGTATCATTGTCATTATGATCAGCTTCTTCTGCTGCCTATTCTGACATCGGACTCGGACTTCTTTTAGAGTGAGTTCTACTGTGCTTTTTGTCATGTGTTTGTTTATTCTGATTTGACTAGAGGTAAATGGGGGGATTGAGATTACACAAAAAGTTGTGCTTTTTACAATTAATAGAAGTAAACCATTATAGGTCAAAGTACGGTCTTCAACACGGAGCCTTGGCTCACACCGAACAGCAAGCTATAAAGGGCCCCACAAATGACTAGTGTAAAACCATTCAAACGGGAAAACCAACGGTCTAATCTATATAAAAAACGAGAAACGAGAAACACTTATGAACCCCATCAACAAATGACAACAGTTACTACTAAACTTCAGATTGATGACTTAGGACAGGTGGTACACATTTTTGTTTAGGGGCCAGCTGAATCCCACCTCCGTGTGCGGAATTTTCTCGCTGTGTTGAAGACTCATTGGTGGCATGGGCTGTATTCTGCTCTTTGGTCGGGTTGTTGTCTCTTTGACACATTTCCCGTTTCCATCCTCAGATGATTACGCGATAATTTAAACTTTAAGTTTCTCATAAGATTTAGGTGCAGGGTAGCTTTGTCAATAATATAATTTACATGACTTTCCTAGCAGTCGTTTTCTTGAAAAATTACCCCTAAATGTTTATGTTTTTGGACTTCTTGAATAATCGTATCATTCATATATATTGATGGATTATGGGATTTCTCTGTTTTTCTACATATGGGTATAGTTTCGGGTTTTTTTAATTAAAATTAACGAGCAATTGTTGAGACCATAATTGATTGTTTTTTTATATCAGAGTTCCTTAATTCAGCCTTAGCATACTCAACCTTAACAACTATATATAATGATGTATCGTCAGCGAAAAGTCTAATGTTGCATGATATGTCACATACAGAATTATTTATAAATAATAAGAATAACACAGGGTCTAAAATAGAGCTATAGGGGCACCGGCTTTAATACTATAAACATCAGAGGTATGTCCACCTATGACAACTTTTTGTCTTCTCTGGGATAAATAACTTTTGAACCATTTCAGGAGGTCCCTTCTATTCAATGTTTCTAGTTTATGAATGAGGCCTTCCTGCCAGCCCCGGTCGAATGCTTTACTGATATCATAAAACACAACTCTGATTTCCTTTTTAGAGTCAAGGACTAATAAGTTGATTAACAGTACTATCTCGACATAAAACCTGTTTGTATCCGTGTAATTATCTTATAGTGAGAAAGAAAATTCAATAAATATTTAAAAACACAATAAAAGACATCAAAGAGATTGATTGGTCTATAGTTGGATAAAATTTCTTGAGAACCACTCTTGAAAATTGGTATTGCATTAATTTTGCTTTTTTCCAGTCATATGGAGAAATGCACAAATAGAGTGATTTGTTGAACAACAGAGCCAGGATAATGCTTAATTCGCAAGCCGCATATTTAAGAAATCTTGGACTAATGTTGTCGATGCCTGTTGCCTTAGACATGTATAACAAAAGGAATGGGTTACAAACTTTCTCTTGCGTTATAATTATGTTATCTAAATTACGAATGACGTCATTCAAATTTAAGTTTTGAACATTTGTAGATGAGTCATCAACGGTCGATTGCTCACAATAATAATGATTAAAAGCATTTGCCTTGTCTTTATTTTTGTCTAAGTAGGTATCGTTAATAGGCTAGGGGTAGTCCGAGGAGTTGGAAGGAAGCCCACCTTAGTTACGCATTTTTTTCTGCAAATTATAAATGTAATATACGTGTGATTGTATTTCAAAATATAGGGTTTTTAACACATTTATTTCTTAATTTTTGTTGAAGTTTTTCCAGATTCATAAGTGTTGTAATGTTTGGCCTATATGTGCGAACGTTTCTGTTTTACGAATTACAGAAAAGAACGTTAAGCATGTTATAACGTTTTATCAATTAAGTGAAAAGTTGTTAGCCA